TATCTAACACCATAGAACCTAGCAGTACTAAACCAACTACTAACGCGCTGGTGACGGCACCTGATGCGGGAGTCAGCCGTACAGAATCCACGACTCTGAAACCTTCTCAGAATGTGTTGAGAACATCACCATTCCCAACTCCAAAGGAGTTGACTATAGAAGAAATGGCCGAGTCCAAGGACAAGCCAACTACTGCTGCGGTCACTTCTAAATCCGATGTGTTCAAAGAGGAGGGCTCCGGAGAAGATGAGATGACGACGCTGGAACCACTTTCGACTCCTTCAGAGGAAGGTCTCTCAAGCTCAGCTGCAACCGACGCATCTTCTTCTCAAAGCACCACCGTTACAGAGGTTCCAACAGCTTCCACATCTACTCCTAAGGACAGTAACGCCACTCTGACTGTCGAAAGTTCTTCCTCTTCTTCGCTGGCAACCGTGGTTATGTTGCTTTCAACAGATGGCGAAAAGTCTCATGCAAAAACCGCGACCACTCTATCCCATACCAGCAGAACTGATCAGCACACTACAGCTAGTCCTGAGAAAGTCGTTACGTCTACAGTACCTTCCACAGAAAAAGAAAGGTCGAAATCTGGCAGTACTGCTAGTGAGATGACCACTGTATCAATGGCTATGTTCACAGAAGATCTACCGGAGACTTCTACATTTGCAGTCGAAATCTCTGTTCCTTTCACCAAAGGACATAGGGCTAGTGTTGCATCATTCTCTGGGTCACCCAGTGCCACATCAACACCAGGAGAAGTTTCTGGGTCAACTGATGGAACTGAAGTTACTACGGCAACCAGCCCAGGAAAGGAAGCGCTTAAGACCGACAAGACCACTGAGGAACCGGCAGGTTTTCCTTCAACGACATCTGCCAGTTTGACCGAGGAAACGCCGGAACTCTCTACCTTGGAGGTCGAAACATCTGCCGCCGCGTTCACAAAAGCGCATAGGGGTAGCACAACAGCGACCAGCGCCTCAGCTACTACTTCATCAAGTACTGAGGATTTGCATTCCACTGGAGGTGAAAGTTCTCAGGGAACTACAGCCATTCCAAAGGACAATACGACTGAGGAGTCCAGCATTGGAGTTATGAAAAGAAGTAACCACAGAAATACCAGAGCTTTCTACCTTGGAAGTCGAAACTTCTGCTTTTTACGACGGAAGGCTTTTTAAAGACAGTCTCCACACCATATCAGCACAGAGTCACTGCGGAAGCCAGTACCACATCGATCCTAGGAAAGCTCAGGAGCTGACAGGTGAAAGTGCCGAAACATCTACTCCTGCCGGCTCAGAATCAACCCATGCCTCTTCTTCATCATCTGAGGCGTCGGAGAGTCCCGGAGAAGCGGAAAGTACTACTGCAGGTCCCGTGGGAAGCACAGCAACCACGAGCCTTTCAACAGGAAACAAGCCAACTCGACTCACAGGCATTCCACAAGAACCCCTGACTGAAAGGTCACTTTCACACCGCGTACCAATTGAAGAGGTCACCCATCCAACAACCTCTGGTATTCCTAAATCGGATGAGTCTACAGAAAATAGCAGTCCTGCCATCACTCCATCATCACCGTTTAGTTCTCCCACTTCTACTGCCGAACCCACCACCACACCGGGAAGCACTTCTAGCGAAGAAACAGATGGAACTACCACGGCTCCTCTTTTCTCGACCACAGTGCCCCAGCGCGACTGTCCCCCAGGAAGTGCAAAAGATTGCCTCCAGCTCACCGCCAACTCCTACTGAGAGCGCTGCCACTGATTCGCCCACTACACCAGCGCCAGAAACCGCCACCGGATCATCGAACAATAACAGTTCCTAGTTCATCTGAAGCGTCTTTTAGGAGCACTGCCACCACATCAGCACCCTTAAGAATCACTGAGGGCACCACACTCACTGACAGCCCGCCTCACACCATTTCTGCAATTGAAGTCACAACCACCACCTCAGGAGACTTACCACCTCGAACTTCTTCCATGACAACTACGTCCACTGTAATCACTCACGAAAGAACCAGTCAGCCGCAGAGCACCACCACCACTACCACCACCGACGACAGCACTGATGGGCCTGAGACCATCACGACAAGCACAAGTCAAGGTATACAACAGCACACACACTGCACCCAGCGCCTGCCTGCACCCACATCGCTTTGTTTTGCCTTGGTTTTGCCGATGTTAACGCCAGTAAACTACCCCACTAACGCCCTAGTACATAGTGCAACTAACCAACGCATTTGATTGGACTTGGCTTCGTGGCTTTTGAATTCTTTGTCGTTACTTCACTAATTACACCCTATTTAGCGTCGACAGCCGAGCCATCGAGCGCTCTTCCAGCGGACACTTCGCGACCCACTTCAAGTCAACCTTCTCTCGGTTTCCAGACTACTGAAGGTGAACAGAGCACGACTTCTGCACCAACAAGCGCCACATCGTCAGCGGTTCCGAACAAGGGTACTACCGTCGAACGAACCACTGGTGATTTGACATCGAGCAGCACTGGACCTGTTCAACCTACTGTTCCTAATGATCTATCTCGTACTAATACTACCACTATTGTTACTACCGCATCCACACCAACGTCTCAAAAGTCCAGCACCACGTCAGCCCCTGTGGCAACCACAACTGAGCACGGTGAGAAAAAGAGTTCAAATAGCACTTCAAGCACTGCACAAAGTACTTCACCATTGCACAAAATCACGGAAAGCACTGTATTCACAAGCACTGCACCTTCATCTGAGGAAACTCTGAGCACTGAAGTCCCTAGAACCTTCGATCGAGAGGGACAAAGTCAGGAAACTGGCAGTCCTGAAGAGGTAAGTACTGCGCTTCCGGAAGAACCTACAACTGAAGAACTTCATATTACTGTCGTCTCTTCCACCCCAAGCTCAACTAGATCAATAATGCTGAACTTCGTGACACCTACGGAACCAGACGGAAACACTCAAGAAGTTTCTTCACCCCTCCCAGAGGTCAATACAAGGCCATCGAGCGTCCTAACAGAAAATCCTGACAATTCTACATCGGGAACTATTCTTATCACAGACATTGACGGGGTGGGGACATCTTCAGGGAGTGGCACAAAACACACGAC